GAACGAAACGCCACTTCCCGCTGAAATCACCGGGTATTGATCTTTCCCTTGCATAAACTGGCTTTAATATAGAGTTCAATGAGAGGGCTAATGTTATCGAACTTTAGGAGGTGAGTGCACGTTGCACTTTATGCGTTCATTAAATGTTGGTTTACACAATAGAAACACACTTCATTCAGCCATGTCCTTTCGGTTACTATGCCTGTATGGGTACAGTACTTGCACATGCATATTATCTACATATCTAAGATTTTTGAGTGATATTTTAATGCACAAGTTGGTATCACTATACATGGACAAGTGAGCGTAGCGAATGTCTAAAATCATACATATGCCTGATACATGCTAGCTATAATACAGATTTCGGCCATAACTATAAGAGTATTATAACAGTTCCGTTTCTAATGACTCCAGGGATTCATTAACTCCCCCACCTACAACGCCACTTGTGAGATAGCATGCCTACTTTATAACACCTAATAAATAATCATGATCCAATAATGTATCAACTCTACAGTATATTATCTAGATTTATCACCCAATAAAACTAACTATTCAAGAGTAGATCTAATATACATTAAGAAATAGATAAAACAATAAAGCCTCTCAGCAATAGCGAATTGCGGAGCTCATATGATGTTATACAAGAGGCGCCTGATTTGGAATGATTGAAATAAGTTGATTAAGATAAGTTGATTGGAATAACTATCCAACATATGAAAGGGTTTGTACAGGGCTGACCGATTCTATTGTTGTAATGTTTTGCTATGGTTTTTAGACAAGGGGGTATATTAAATTGTTTGTTCGAACGATCATAGAATTGGGTTTGGAGCCTTTTAGTTATCACTTGTTGTCGTGACTCCTAAATGATGAAGGACCGGTATCAATATGTTTTTGCTAGATCATATTTCGGGATATTGTGGGTTGTTTTGATCGTGCTTTGTTGTGTTCTTTGATGTTGCCATTAATTTGCTGTGTGTTTTAATGCTTTTTGGTATTTCTCTTAAGGCACTTATGCTTGCAAACCTGGATATGTGGCATTTAAAATATAACGCAATGTAATCTCAAAAGTAATACTTAATTGCTTATCTCCTAATTTCAAATGCAATGTGAGTGTCAGCCATGCCTATTACCTTTGATTTTATTCTGTTCTATTTCTCATAGATCAATTACTTTAATTATGTTCTCTCGTTGTTGGTTGTGATGGATACGTTTTTATATGGTATACAAATGCTGTTGTGAGCTGTAGGTACTTTGTGCTCCAAAATGCATTTTGATCGATTTTTATACTTTTTGCGAACTGAACTTTACACTTGACGATCAAAAACACAATTTTGGGGTAATTTTGATATGTGTTTTGATGTCTACACAATTCTTTCCTAGTGTGTAGTTTGTGAATGATAATATACTTAAACCACCTCTCTAGCGACTGGCATTCGCTTTTATTAGAATTATACACAGATACAATTGTCTAGTCGGTTGTGTATATTGTTAATGTAATTATATTGGCCCCATGAGTCATTTTGACACTAAATGTGAAAAAGTATGTATTGCGGATGGCATTTAGTAATTGTCTGAAATAGCGTCATTATTTCAAAGACCAAAGGTTACAAATATATGAAATTACATGGTAGCAAGGGTCATTATAATTGGGTCAAAAAAGTTCTGTTTCTTTATCTCTTACTTTGTCATTTTGAGGATTTACTTCTTGATATTTGGTACATCTATAGAACATATATTTGTGCAACTATTGGCTAAATATTGTATCTCAACTATGATTGGTTATTGAATTATGGTTGCTATGGTAACGTAATTGCGGGGTACACGGTTCAGCTAAAAAACGTCATATTTTTAATGTCACATTAATTTCATTTGGCATCAATTCATTGAACAGTTTTTCAAGCTAAAACATCAGATTGTGCAAATTGACAGGTTTTGATCCCAATTCTATTGTCTTGATGACATCACAGTCAAGGAAATATTCAATTGTGACAATTTTCAGCTGACATGGATGATTTTCAGGATGAAAAAGTGAAAAGGGATTTTGAGAAAAAAATAATGTCAAATATTGATTATCCTAGCAAGTTGTTAAAGGGGAAGCAAAGAAACTTGATACAGTGTATGGTAGAAAACAGGAAAACACTACAAGAGACATATTCACTTGTTAAAGGTGCTTTTGGACAGGATGCTCCAAGATATAATACTGTCCGTAGATGGTACAATGACTTCTTGTCTGAAAAAGGGATAAACTGTCTGATTCAGCACGGACTGGCCGGCCCAAGAGTTCTGTGAATGAGGACAATGCTGAGAAAATACAAAAGTTGACTGAGCAAGATAGGCACATTTCACTGGATGAGATTAGTTCCATTCTGAATATTTCTCATGGCTCATGTCATACGATCATCACTTAAGTATTGAGAAAGCGTTACATAGCCTCAAAATGGGTTCCAAGATTCCTCACTCATGAAGGGCCATACGTCAGAAGAGACGGCGAGGGTTTAAGCCACACTTCCACATGGACAATTAATGCTCGTCCCCATACAAGTAATGTTACCAAGACTGCCTTAGAAGACCTCCAATGGAGCAGGATTCCACAAGCACCATACTCCCCAGACACATCTCAATATGACTTTTACCTCTTCAGCAATCTAAAGAGGGGTCTTCGGGGGATCCGGTTTGTTTCCAATGAGGCTCTGCGGCGGTTTCAAAGGGGTCTTCAGAGACTGGGTAGAAAGGCACCGAAAGGTCATTGCTGCAGTAGGCGACTATTTTGAAGGCTAAATAACTAAATTAAACTTAGATATGACATCGGGGACTTAGTTAGAAAGGAGTTTTTAAATATTGAGACAGTTTAAAGTATATGTCATGTAATATAACAGTGTATGAAAATCAATAAAATTGGGTTGAACCGAGTACATCGCCCTTCTGTTACCATAACAACCATTATTCAGTAACCAATGATAGTTGAGATATTATGTCATGTAATATAACAGTGTATGACAATCAATAAAATTGGGTTGAACCGAGTACATCGCCCTTATGTTACCATAGCAACCATTATTCAGTAACCAATGATAGTTGAGATAAAATGTCTAGTCAATATTTGCACCAATATATGTTCTATAGGTGTACCAAATATCAAGAATCAATTCCTCAAAATGACAAGGTTAGAGATAAATAAAAAGAACTTTTTGACTGACCCAAGTATGAAACCCCCTGTAGACGTTCTATGAAAAACAAATATTTTGGTGTCATTCCTCGTATTTGATTTGCATATCAACCAGTGAATCTATCACCTCGAACTTCTCAAACATAGGAAGTACTTTAAATTATAAGATGTTTGGGGAAATTGGCAAAATGTTACTCCTACTTATGTACTAAAATTGTACGAATGACATCATAGCGACTTGATTTAGTTAAAATAAATGTTATTATTACCACCTTGCCGGGCCAGTTCTAGGGGTTTAGTGCTAGTTTAGAAGGCATTCATTTTACTATATCGACCTGAGCAATATGTCACGTCATAGTGGCGGTCAATGTTGCCGGTCAAGAATGCAATTAATAACCGGCAATTTTCCCCGGGAAATTAGATATCGTTCAGTGCGTACGATTTTCTTGCTGTTTCAGTCCTGATCATTAACGGTGGTAATAATACTAGTAACGTCATCTCTGCGGGCAATATTATACAAATAGTGACCGCCATTGAGGGCAATAGTGTAAATTATTTCCCCGAGGGAATATCCTCTGAAATATCCTCTGATTATAGAGGATATTCCCAAGGGGAAGTCAATTACACTATTGCTCGAAATTAGGCACTTAACTATTTGCTTTGTTATATACCCTATACTGACTCTTGTCTCTTTTCCTCTGCGAAGGCCTAAACGGCCTAGAAAGACCCCTCCCCGGGTCCATTGTTAGCATTATAAACTGTGACGTCATCATATGCTCATCAGAAAGTTTTGCCTAAGAAATTTCTGAGACTCTCACTTGACAAATTCAATCGCGTTTAACAAGCGAAATAAATTATCATAACACTTGAAATTACACAGCCGTATTGATCTTAGGGAAAATCCACTTTGCTTATGTATCGTTCACGCACGTCTGTCATGGTGAACGGAGTTGATTTGTGTTTGTGCTCATCCTCCATTTTTCTGTTTTTCGTCTGCGCAGTGATGATGCGCAGACGTTTCCAAGGGTAATAGACGTTGCGATCGTGACGTCAGCGGGCAATAGTTCAAATGTATATTCCCGCTTTTTACATTTGAGGGAATATAACTTTCGATCAGAATTAGTGTTACATATATTGGGTATATAATAAAGTGAAATATTGGACATTCGGCCTTCAGCCATCGGTCCAATATTTCACTCTATTTTATACCCAATATGTAACACTAATCCCGATTGGTCAATCCCTAGCCAAGTGTTCCGAAATAGATTTAGTATTTCCCTTCGAAATTACGTCTGTGTAATTTCAAGTGTTATTATAATCTAGTTCGCATGTTAAACGCGATTTAATTTGTCAAGTGAGAGTCTCAGAAATGTCTTAAGAAAAACTTTCTGTTAAGCATATGATGACGTCACAGCTTATAATGCTAACAATGGACCCGGGGGGGGGGGGGCTTTCTAAGCATTTTTTGCTTTCGCGGAGGAAACGGGACAAGAGTCAGTATAGGTTATACAATGAAACAAATAGTGACTGCCTTATTTTGATCAATAGTGTTAATGACTTCCCCTTGGGAATATCCTCTATGAACTATTCCCGCAGCCTGCGACTTCGAGAATAGTACATTTTAGAGGATATTCCCTCGGGGAAATAATTTACACTATTGCCCTCAATGACAGTCACTATTTGTATAATATTGCCCTTCGAAATGACGTTATTGTACTAATGTTAGATTGTGAAGAGACCACATGGCGTATATATATTTCAAATTCCATATATTCGTGGTATTATCATAAAATCAAAACCTAATTTATGATATGATAGTATTTTATTTCAGAATAAAAATAGAGAGAAGGAGCTGTTGTGATAGGGCAGAGAATAGATGTAGAGCTTTTGGTGCAGGAGGGTCATCTTTGAACGCCTGTGTGACGTATACCTGTGGAGGAACGTGTGGAAGTACAAACTTCATGAAACGCTTTTTTAAATCGTAAGTATATCCAAAGAACTAGTTCGATTCGTATATACCAGGGGATCAACATTCTCCTGTAACGATATAACATGTACAGAGGCACAAAACAACGGATGTTCGATTATACGAGCAACTCCTATTAGACGAAACATGTTGGGTATATTCACCCTGCTATAGCATGACGGTTACGCCACCTCTGAAAACGAAGTTGGACGGCTACGTTCACTAATTTATCCAATAAAATGGCCGCGATGGAACAGAAAACTAAGGTTGGTGCATTATTTTCTACTACTGTGTAACAATGAAAGGATGAACGATTTATGTAAGCATCGCATTCGGTGATGCATTTAGTAATGTATATTTTGAACGTAGTCTTTGCAAATTAATGCCCAGGGATAACATGGACTTTTTCCTTGTCCTATAGAGGCTCAAACAAGAGCGTCTCTTGCGAGTCCTTAAAACAAATATGAGCTATTCAATATTCCATTTCTTACCCATTATAACAATGACATGGAAAGAGGCTATCAGAACTAGAAACCTTGACTTGAACGGTGTACATGCACGTAACCGTCCGCTAAATATCTAATGTACAACTAATTCAATACGTTACCGTCCATAGAATTCATACGTAGTCGTCTAACGATATTGCGTTTGAAACCTTATTGTTTACAATATACACCACGTTCCTGTTCTGGATTTGTCATTTTATGGCTTGTTTATACACAGTTCACTTACAGTTAATAGTGGCTTGATTTTGAGTGGCTCTGAGGCACATATACTGAGAAATCACGAGAATGGACTAAAAATTATGAACTTGGATATCTCAGTCGGTAAGATTACAGCTTATATTCTGCTTCTAGTAAACCACCTGGGAAATTTGACCCAGTCTTTAAAACCATCCATATATACGTCACCGAATGGAACTATTTGAAAAGGATATCTTATCTGTGAATCTTGTCTACAGGCGAGAAAGAGGACATGCTGTCTTTCCCACCCGCCATTTTTGTTATCGTTACCGCAAAATTTTGCAAATCGCCTTGACGTAACCGTCATGCTATAACACCGTGATATTCAACGTGAACTTCTCAGTTGATCATTTCCCTCGATTTTGATTCGATTTGAATTTACCAATACACCTGACCATATTAAGAAACTATCGGAAATATAACTGGAAATATAGTCACATATAACCAGGCTTATTCAGCTTCGAATGCTCGGTCTTCCTCCCTGCGTTCCGACCGACGAAAGCCGAAAGAAGACAAAAAAACATTTAATCTCATTTATTAATTAGATCGGCGACTGATGACACAGGAGCTGCAGTTACAACTATATTAATCGAATATGTTTCATGAGTTGTCATTTCATTAATTCTAAATAATGAACCATTGACAGGCAAATTCCATCATCATAGCAAGTGTTATATTTCAAAACATACTCTTCTAATATGATTTGGTTTCGATACAGTGTTACCTGGGACATCGACGTTGTGATTACATTACGTACGATTAATTTGTTCATATTTTGTGATATCCAATTACATTAATTGTTTTAAATATTTAATAAGATATAAATGAGTTTGTACTCAACGTACATTTTTTCATTGAGCTGGTGTTGATTCTCCCATAATGGATTTGCTGTTTGCTATAAGTCATTTGTCTTTTACACTCTTCTTCAAAAGTTTGGCCACCTCAATTCCCCCATTGGGTCATGGGTCGAAATTTCATCACATCAAAGTAACATCTTAATTTTGAGAATGTGTTGTTGATAGTGTTTTGTGTTTTATAGTGCAGTGTTAATATTATGCTATCATCAGTGGCTATCATTTAGTGGAGATCGTTTTGGTCTACTATACTGTGGGTCCCCGCACTGTTCCGCTGTGTGTTTTCGTGCAAATATTCCCAGAGAGATAAACATTATATTCGCAGTCGTGAAACTTTCATTTAAGAGAGGAAATTTACTCCCATGACACCGAGGTTTAGAAATAAAGGCAAAGCTTTATGTCAGACAGAATTATTCCATATCAAAATGCAATTATCTAAACGGGTATGTTGAAAGAAGGAGGTAATACAAGATTAACTTGTCTCGTGGGTACTCTTTGATTATTTTAGCTATTAGACATACTGACCGTTTCAAAATATCACATCCACAAAGAAAAACACTATCAAATATGATGTCAAGTTAACAAAGGAAGATGATTAATGGCTTTCACCTTAATGTAAATGTTATTGAAAATATATTTACTGTCGCATCTGATACGTGGCTTTTTAGCTAGAATGAAGGAAGCGAGGAATCGTGTTCTTTTTTTATCAAAATCCTTAACGCCGAACATTATTGGTAATGTATACCAACCTTCAAACCAAATCTAAAGGATTAGATTTCCAAATCCAAACATAATTTGATAAAAAATCTAATGCGTTTTCACACGTTCGGCAACTAATAGTTTCCGCTTATAAGGAGTATCCATTAATTTCTAGATCGTACATTAAACGTGCTAAAACCGTATTCAAACCATCCTCTCTGAAATTGCCCACAACTAAGAGCAAATTAACAAAAACTACAATAACGAAAATGATCCGTGGCGATAACATTTGATGCTTATTTTATAGCAATAAAATTCAAGCACTAAATTGCTGACATATCGAGAGCAATTTCATGATGAGCACCAATATATTGAATTACTTCACAATCGGCTGATAAACAAACAATGCAATTCCATTTAGAAAACGATGTGTTTGCAATTGATTTATCACTGTTAGAGGGTCTGTAAACAGCTATGTACTTTGATCACATTTTAAAGGCTTCTACATCCGGATGAATGCAGTGACGTATTAAGGCGGTTTCCCAACTTACACAAAAGTTTATAAAATGCAAATGTCTTATCAAGAGTTTTAACTATGTATTCTATCATGATTATGTGAATATACACGTACACGTGTGAAAATGTCTATTTCATTTAATTATTTTTTATTAATCATTATATTTATATAAAAATTCTAATGCAGAACTACCTTAAAGGATGATTGTGGAATTACATTTCACGAGGGCGTTATATAATGTCAATATATCCCTGGTCCCACGGATTTCAACACCCCCATACCATCCTCACTCAAGTTTTATCAATACAATTAACAGTTCTGCAAAAGATCATTTATGCCCCGCCCACCATGCATAACTACGTGGGTTGCTGTGGGCATTCCATTCACAATACATAGTATAATGCAAACAAATGTTGCCTTGGCATTTCTGATTGCCATTTTAATTAATCCTATAAACCTCACGCACACCTGGCGACTGGCGTCCATCACATTCCAACAATTCTGGCATCTTAAAGGCAGAATCAAATCTACAAGGGAGTGACTAAATTGAAAGCAACAATTACAGTTGACCTACCAATGCATTCCTTACAATCTCAGGCATAATATCTCCCAATATGTCCACGATATTTTATAAATGGGTGAAGTCATCAAGGATTCAAAGTACCAAAATGGGGAAAGGTGTTAATTCTCCCAAATAATAAAAACGTTATTCGGCAAATATAGATGTCACTCGGAGTTAGAGGTGTCACGTAATGCAGTACATTGCAACAATTTTCATTGCAAATTAAGTCTGTTGTACAAGGAATGATATTCCCTTGTAACAATAGTCGGGTTGCAACATAGCTTGGACTATGCCAAAATGACCCATAGTCACAAGAAATCAAATACTTTAATTTGGTATTTGCTATTATTATGTCATACTTTTTATAACATTGTGTAGAAACTTCAAAATATTAATATAACGAAAACGGATCCGTTTCGGCAACAACAATTTAATCACAGTAATTGTTACCAAAAGGGATCCGTTTTCGTAACCAGTTTGAAGTTTAACCACAGTGTATTAGATTTTATGAAAATAACATAATTGAAGTTAAAATCCATTTTTTCTCTTCTCCCGCATAGTATCGCTCTCTGTGGAGTTATTCAGTTGGAGCTCGCTGAAGAAGTGTAAAGGAACGCGTGATAAATTCATATTTTTGTACTCAGGTTCATAGTTTGCATTTTTCGATCGTATGAAGACTCTCTCTTAAAACGCATGCCAACAATTCAATGTACTCGTGCATATGTATTTTACCTGTGTTTCTGTTTTCAGGAAGAATAATGCACTGACCAAGACTGAGAAAATGTCCGCAAAGAAGCGATCAGATTGTTGTTTGGTGAGCAAAAATAGATGCCCGGGAAGTTTCGCCCAGTGCCAGGCATTCATGAACTATAGTTGTGGCGGATGCTTTTAGAGCAATGTTTGCGCATGCGTCAAGTTTCAAGCATCAAAGACACATGTTCTTTAGTTTGTTTTCGAGGAGTGCTAGGGTTCAAATGTTTTGATAATTAATGTTTGATTAAAACATTTGATTTGATAAAAATATTGTGTTTTGTTGTATGTCATATATTGAAACATATCAAAATGAAATCTCTGATGATACAGAGTTTAAGCCCACGACAAATTGCATTGTGGAATGACCATTCCTTTCAGGCGTTGTTTCCTAAAATTAACTTTCGATGCAAAGTATCTCGTTAATTTTGGAAAACAGCAACTTCAGGGAATGGTAATTTTACATTGCACCGAGTCAAGGGCTTAAATCCTTAAATAATACCAAGTCATACATTCATACATCTGCATACTAAATCACTGATTGAGAGTTGTTGTACATCTTGAAATATGAATGTAAAGACAAAAACAAGCCACAGGGTGAACAGAATCGCACCCTTGAACAGAATACACTTTTCGGGATGGAAAATTCAAAATGGCCACCTTAACAATATACCAAGACTGCCTATAAAAACTAATCAGTTCTAAACTTTCCATAGAAACATCTCTAAAATGTTGGGATGAAATCCGTGAAACCTGTAAACAACCCTCAAGAGACACGTTTTAAGGTATTAGTTCACAGTGTATCAGCTTTTTTTCTACAATTCAGATTTTCAAAAATCCTGGTAAAAGATATACTGATGTATTACAAAATATGTGAAAATTGGAAAGATTGTTGACCGTTTAGTTATTTCTAAAGAAATGTTTTAATTTAACATTGCTCTCAATGGGAAATTCTTTTTTATTTTTTAAAACAAGCCTTCACAGACAAGATTTTAGGACGAAAAATCCAAAATATATATAATAGGTAGAAACATCCCTGAGAATTTCAAATGAGTCCCTCAAACGGTTTGGCTGGAAACCTGTAGACAAGCCTTGACAGACAAGATTTTAGGACGGAAAATTCAAAATGCCCGCCTTAACATTTACCCAGAATGCCGAAAAACTAATCAGTTCTAAACTTTCATAGGTAAAAACATCCCTGAGAATTTCAAATGAATCCCTCAAACGGTTTGGCTGGAAACCTGTAGACAAGCCTTGACAGACAAGATTTTAGGACGGAAAATCCAAAATGGACGCCTTAACATTTACCCAGAATGCCGAAAAACTAATCAGTTCTAAACTTTCATAGGTAGAAACATCCCTGAAAATTTCAAATGAATCCCTTAAACGGTTTGGCTGGAAACCTGTAGACAACTTGAAGATTATTCGAGACGCCCGCCCGGCAAACTGATTACAAAATAGCACCTTAGGGTGCGATAACAAGTTGAACTTGAAATTGCTGACTATTCAATTTCACGTTACATTGATTTCAATGGGATTTCGTGGTACCTGCTATCTTTGAAAGTTTGTAACTTCAGTTCCAGAAAAGCTTTTACTTTGATTATAGTTTTATCTGAGACCATCACAAGGCAACGAAGCATTTTTTGGCAAATAAAGTTTATTGTGAAAGAAAATTGACAATTTATGACAAAATGTACACCCCAGATATTTCTTATAACAGATCAACGCAGACAAATAAACTCAATGATCAATCGTATGTTGACGAATTCCACTCATTCATTCCCAAACAAATTGCAAATATGTCACTTTTGATTCATTATATTGCGATCTCCTCATCCTCCATATTGAAAATGGATCAAATGCATATGTAGAATGATTAATGGATCCTGGGATCCGAGTTTAAAATACACCACGGTACATCTCACTCTACTTACCTAACCCCTAGAAACGCATGAGATACTCTGTTTGTCCAATTGTATTGTTTAGTATATTTTTGAAAATACCTTATATCATCTAACAGTCATCCAATAAACCATTAATAAGGGACTGACAAATAAAAACCAATAACATAATCATTACTAATAAACCAAATGGGTTGCTCATGAACACCAAATGCAAGGTATTTTTTAATAATACTTTTTATTTCTTAAAGTCATAAATAAATTTACATTGTTATTCACGGCGTAATCGCGCAGAAAGGGCATTTCTACTGCCGCTTTGAGTGAATTTAAATTACAATATGATTACAACACTTTTTTACATGCAAGGTATAGTAGAGTGATCTATGTGAAGGCGGTTCAAAGCATTCACTTTTGTCTCATGAGCAGTAAAAATAAATAAATGAAAATTAATTGAGAGTAATCGTTCATGAATTTCACACAGTTGACTGGAGTGGGCAACAAAGAATAAATGTGTATGCACAAGTGCGAGAGAGAAAATACTACACAGTCAGGTTCAGTAACTAAGTCAATATTCGAAGATAAAAATCTAAAAAATCGTACATGTTTGATTTCCAAAATAATTGGAGGTGGTTATTAAGATGATAATACACATTTTAACGTATTAATTTTGAGTACATCTCGAATTCATTCTCAACAAAGCGTTAACGAAATAGGTATTCGAAATGGTTGAGTTCGGGATGATAAAAGTACGTTCAGATATACCGCTCCTTAACAAATTCGCTTGGGAACAAGATGTAGAATCAAAGCATGTTCTTCTTTTTACTCACTGACACATGCCAACGAATGTTACATGTCATTGAGTAAATGTCTCTGTTTTAAATAATTTCGTAAACGCCGTTATATACAGGTGCCATTTTTATAATTGAACAACAAAGATCATTTTGCATTTCTAAATTGATAAGTTTCTTGGAATAAAACATAACTGTTAACGATTTAAGTCATTAATAAATGTTTTTCTTAGTGATTCCCTGATAGATAGACAGTAACTGGGTCAATGGTTTATGTTCAACCTTGTTTTTATGACTTTTAAACATGAGTCGACAATTATGTAGGAAATTACAATTCCAAATGTCAGCGTGTCAACAGTCCAAAAAATACTAGAAGACCTAACATGTTTCGAATTGTACTGCGCATATTCATTTAGCAATTTATTCGTAAACTTTCTCTTGAAAAAATAAATCGTCCAGATTTGTTTGATTTTCTAGCAAAGATCGCCCCCCCCCCGTTCATTTTGTCCGATCACCGGGCGTGTGATAGGTATATTGAAAATAATAAACCACAAGTTTATTTAAATTGTGGCACCATTCTCAGTATATATGGAAGAACCTACGAATTTCGAATGTTGACTAAGTTACTGAATCTGACTGTAAAATGTGTAAAAAAGCAAAGCAAGAAAATCGAGCATCTAAAGTACAATCGGTCAAGCTATTCGACACTTTGGTCCAATGTAGGATACTCAACTCCTTAGACTTAATAAGTATCCTTTGATTTTGACTCAAGGTCAGTTAATTTGGTTTAGCGTCATTTGATTCTCTGCATTGAATAACAACTTGGTAACACTGATTAAAAGACTCGTAGGCCTACAAATGTCCTTTGCGTCGATTCTCAACGACAACTTGGTAGCATTTGATTTTGACTCTCGGACAATTCAATATTGCCTTTTTTCACAGTTTATATAAGGCGTGAATACAGTCATTTTCTAAAAGATTTTGCATCATCTCATTGTGTGCTTTCACTGGTGATCCACTCGATTAGGTTGGTTACCAAAACGGTTCGTTTTGGTAACAAAATGTCGGAACATCCGGAAGGTACGGTTTTTCTCGTTTCCTTATTTTACACGTTGTAGGCAGAATTCCCACGACATTTTTTAACACAAACGTGTATCAGTATCATATGTTTAAGAAAGTGTTATACGTCGCACGATACTGGGGACAATTAGCGTAACATTATGGCGTCAAAAAAACAAAACAAAACAATGAGCAGTATAGGGCGCAAACAGCCTTACAACGTCAAAAACGACAAGCGTCACATTTTTTACAAGTTTAGTCAACCTAAAAATAAAATACTTTATCCTTATCTAATCATTACAAAATTTACAGGGTAGCAAGATCTCGAGGACAATATTTCTAAAATGTTTTTGAATTTTGAAAAACGGTCAAGAAATCCACTTTGGGCGTTAGTAAAAATTGATATGTATGGAATTTGTGGTAAAAAATCGATGCGTCACATTTTTTTCAAGTCTCGAAAACCAGCTCTTATTTTGATATTATTTGCAAAATAAACAAACCGGTTATTGTTTTGTAAATTTCGCCATGACAATATTGTGCAGTTAAATTTTCTTTCAAATCAGACCTAAATTAGAAGGTTAAATGAAGGTAAACTTATTGCTCGTCCCATTCGCCTTCAAAACCTTACATAATTTTGGAAATTTTAAAAGCGTTCGTATAAGATAATTTGAAATGTAGCCGTAAAGCAATTGTGACGTCATAAATGCAAATGTTCCATTGAATAAATTGTGAAATTTAAGTGGGATTTTGATCATTATTTGAAAAGTTATCTCAATTTCAACGAGCCCTGTAATCGTAAAGTGTTACGTCTTACAGCGTATTTGACGATGTCGGAGTATATTTAACTTTAAAAATGTGTTGGATCCCATCAAAATTTTGAAGGAAAAATAATTTCATTGAAATGCAAATAAAAAATACTTCAAAATGATATGTAAAACGCATAGTTGGCTTTTTAAATAAGGCAGAGATTAACGTTCAAAGCTGAGATAAGCCCGCATTTCCCGAATTGTCCCCAGGTCCGTGCATGTCATATGTACATATTTGCGAACAAATAGTTCAGAAGACAACAGAATCGTCGATTTACTTCCTCACTTAAGTTACATCAACGGTTTGGGTTAAAAGTACAGATCTTAACTGTTTTTCGAAATACCGTTTATGTAACTTAAGTCGTGCCTTCGACGTTCCGACATTTTGTAACCAAAACGGTTCGTTTTGGTAACCAGCGTAATCGAGTGGATCACCAGTGGCTTTGTAACATTGACTAGATTATTAGGTTCGAATCAAAGTAACTTACCTGTTATAGATTTATGATTAAAAGCGCCGTACAACATAATACAATATAATCTAGCGCCCACATTTTGATTCCTTCAGCTCTGAATCTAAAAGTAAAACATATTTCTTAACAAAGAAAAGTATATCGTTAACGTAGCTGTCACTCTTAGGCCGCATGGGCTCACCGTTCGCCACCGTTTGAATACGCTGGGGCAGACGGCGGGTTGCGGCATGGATACACAGTGGGCAAAACAAATAGTTTTACAGCGAGATATCCCCCATCACGCCAAATACAAAAATAAATTAATTATAAAATG